GGTAAAGGTAAAAGTTTTCTCCTGATATTAAGTCTAGTGTGTCTGACTCTGGAAAGTGGTGGTCATCTCCATTTCTACACCCAAGAGCCAGCCTTGTCCATAGACACCTCCAAGGTCATGTGGCCAGCATGACTGCATGGAGCGCCTTGAACTTCCTACCGGCGCGGTACGGTACCTATTGGGCTACTCACATTTGTGTGTTTTCGAACTTCTAAATTGGCAGAAGCTGGGGCTGACAGTGGAAGCTCACTGCCACCCAGATTCAAACCTGCGACCTTTCAGTCAACAAGCTCAGAAGCTCAGCGGTTTAACCCACTGCACCACTGGGGGCTCCCATTGCAACTGAAGGCAGCATCAAACAGATAAATATTTCATATTTGCTTGTAGTAGGAAGGGTGTTCCAAAATAAGAAAAATTTAACACTTTATAATTGGCAGCACTCCAGCAAAAGGTGCCAAGCACAGCATAGAACTTTTTCTAAAGCCCACACCCAGAAGTCACAAATGTGGTCTGAATGTGTCAGCTAAAAGGTTCCTAAATCACTCAGCTAATCCTCTCACCCAGCAAATGTGACTCCTGCTGGTGAGAAAACAGGACTTTTGTGGCTGAGTGTAACTTACTACAGCTGTTACCATTAGAGAAAACAGTTCTCCTTTTCAAGGCTGCATGCTTTACATCTGTTTCTTTAGGTAAGGAAACGGTTGGAAAATTTGGCAGAAGAGTCAGCAAGTGAAGGGTTATTTTTAGTCCTTTGTGATTGATATAAAGATGGAAACAAAATTTTAAATTATACCAAAATTGACAAAAGAGAAGCAGAAAATCATCCTGTAAACTGATTTATTATGTTTCTATTTTAGAATTATATGCAATTAGAGTAGGGGTGTACATTTGTAGGATTTGTTTTTATCGTGTCAGAAGCAACTTGAGAAACTGCAAGTTGCTTCTGGTGTAAGAGAATTGGCCATCTGCAGAGACGTTGCCTAGAGGATACTTGTGGGGGGTTCTCTCATGTCCCTGCATGGGAAGCTAGAGCTGACAGACGGGAGCTCACTCCATTTCGCGGATTCAAACCGCCGACCTTCAAGTCAGCAGTTTAGCTGGCACAAAGGTTTAACCCATTGCATCACCGCGGTTCCTATTTGTAGGATAAATTGTATAGTTAGTGATGCAGCTGTTGTTTATGGGTATGTATATAAGTATTGTTTTTTTTTCAATTTGTGTTTTTTATCTTTAAAATGAATTTAAAATGGAGAAGAAGAAAAAAAGAAAATTGGGGCATAAGAGATCAAACAATAACTGAGTGTTGGCAAGATAGCAAATGTTAATAGTGATGAAGAACGCACAAGTTTGGAGAAACTGCAGCAGTTTACTTTTGTCTGAGTTTATAAGGGAGTACAAGATTCCACCCTCTGTCCTCTTTTGCCTTGATGCTAAGTGCAAGGTTTTTTTGCCTTTTGAATTTCATTTGCAGCAACTGAAATAAACTTTTGCAGGTTTTTGGGGCACAGGACCCCCATGGAAATGGAAAAAAAAAACATGAATTAAAAATACTTTTAAAAAAACTTAGTCATTCCAGCACAACTCTGTGTCTAACGTCCTCCAAAGACTGACCACAGAATAACACTGTAAGACCTACAAATGCAAAGAAAAGTGTTCTGTCTTGGACTCTGCATCTCCTCTGGAAATTGACTAGAGTTATGCTGGAGGACCTAAAGATTCCTAAAGATAACACATTAATCGAAAGCACAAATAATCAAATCCGCAAAGTTTATTTATTTATCGCGTCAGGAGTGAATTGAGAATACAATTATAATGCATAAAATAAAATACAAATTTAAACCCATAAATGTGGAAGGTTGACAATAGATAGTGATTAAAATGATAATAACAATATGCTGGTGATCAGACCCGTAGCCGGGGGGGGGGGGGGCTTGAGGGGCTTCACCCCCCCCCCCACTCAAAATTCTCATGTTGCTCCACGAGAAGGCCTTACTGGTGCATTATTTAAACTGTTATGTTTATTCATATCATGATCTGATCACCATGCTCAATATATCCCATATGCATGGGGGTATTGGAGTAACGATACAAAAGGTTTGCTAGGGTAGACCCTCTTTCACTCAGACTCAAACTCCCCCCCCCCCCAAATCAAAATCCTGGCTACAGGCCTGCTGGTGATCAATAAATATAATAACAATAGTGATAAATATGCAGGAGTGTCTAAATTCACTGCAATGAGTTTTTTTTAATTCTGCCTAATTGTAGCATTATTCTTTACTTCAATTTTAACTGCCGGAGCCCCCGGTGGCGCAATGGGTTAAACCCCTGTGCTGGCAGGACTGAAGACCGACAGGTCGCAGGTTCAAATCTGGGGAGAGGCGGATGAGCTCTCTCTATCAGCTCCAGCTCCTCATGCGGGGACTGAGAGAAGCCCCACAAGGATGATAAAACATCAAAAATCATCTGGGTCCCCTGGGCAACGTCCTTGCAGACCAATTCTCTCATACCAGAAGCGACTTGCAGTTTCTCAAGTCGCTCCTGACATGACAAAAAAAAAAAATAACTTCCACAGCTGCATTCTGTGGAATGCTGTGGTTTGAAAAGATCCTAGAGTTGTGCCTTAAAGTTCTAAATATCTAGAATTTTTAGACAGTAAGTTTGAGGATTTTCCAGGTTGCAGCCATGGCAGTTTGAGTAGCATTATAGACTATAACTATGTCGCGTGAAAGGGCTGAAGAGCTTAACTTTACTCAATATGAGTTTAGTTTTATTATACTTTTGGATAGCAAACTAACTTCAGATGTGGTTCCAGTGCCTTTATAGTTGCAAGTTAAGGAAATGATACAAATATTCTTTTCAAAAATTTCTGGTTTTTAAAAATTAATAGGGTTGACATAACCCTATTACTTGAAGGCACACACACACATTAAGCAAGATAATTTATTCACAAAAGTACACAATCTTCTATTTCCCATAATTCTAACCTTCTTCAATGTACATGTGTTTACTAGGCTTGGGCGATCCAGATCGTTATTTTTGTTACTCGTTATTGATTCGTATTTAAATTAGCTTACGATCCAATATTGAGCCATGCAGGAATAGTGTGAGGAGTACATAAGAATTGAAACAATTTCCCCATTTTTCGTAATTATTTCGGATGTCTGGTGCAAGTTTTAAAAACTCACCGTTTCCCTCCCCTCTCCCTGGTTGCAAGCGGTCGGCATTTACCCCACTTCCGGGTCCCTGGCCTCCGCTTCAGCGGATTAATTTCCCCTCTCCTCCTGCCGGTCACCTCACCCCTCACTCTGGCCTGCATTGGGCAAAGAGGACACAGTAGTGCAGCACTCACAGAGACCTGCCTGTTGCCTGCCTAACCTCCTGCCTTCCTGGGCAGGGGTTAAAACTATTATTATTATTATTATTATTATTATTATTATTATTATTATTATTAAGAATGGATGCCATCTGTTAGGGGTGCTTTAATTTGATATTCCCAGCATGAAGGCAGAAGGGGGTTTGTTGTTGTTGTTGTTGTTGTTGTTATTATTATTATTATTATTAAGAATGAGATGTGTGGTCCATCCAAAAACAATCCGGAGTCAGAATGGAGGAGTCAGCACTCACACGAATCCTTCTTCCTGGCCCAACAGTTTAAAACTATTATTATTATTATTATTATTATTATTATTATTATTATTATTAAGAATGGATGGCCATCTGTCAGGGGCGCTTTAATTTGATATTCCCAGCATGAAGGCAGAAGGGGGTTTGTTGTTGTTATTATTATTGGGATATAAGGACAGTGTTGAAAGGGTCTAGGGGCCCTTCCAGACAGGCCCTATAGCCCAAGGTCTGATCCCAAGTTTTCTGTTTATTCCAGGTTATCTGGCAGTGCAGACTCATATAATCCAGTTCAAAGCAGATAACCTGGATCGGATCTTGGGATATAAGGACAGTGTCGAAGGGTCTAGGGGCCCTTCCAGACAGGCCCTATATCCCAAGGTCTGATCCCAGGTTTTCTGTTTATCCCAGGTTATCTGGCAGTGCAGACTCATATAATCCAGTTCAAAGCAGATAACCTGGATCGGATCTTGGAATATAATAGTTTTAAACTGTTGGGCCAGGAAGAAGACCTTTAGCTGTGTTTAGACAAGCCATTTTAAAGCGTTTTAAAGACTGGATTCGCGTGAGTGCTGACTCCTCCATTCTGACTCCGGATTGTTTTTGGATGGACCACACATCTCATTCTTAATAATAATAATAATAATAATAATAATAATAACAACAACAACAACCCCCCTTCTGCCTTCATGCTGGTAATATCAAATTAAAGTGCCCCTGACAGATGGC